AAGTTCCTCCAGTTTGAATCTCTCTGACTGTCAGGACCTCCCAGCTGCTCCTTCACTCCTGATGTTCTCCTCAAACACCTGAGGCTCCTGCTCCGGCGGCTGTTGGGCCTTTATGTCCCTCAGACGCGGTTCCCGCTGGGGAGTCGTTCTGGAATGAGAGCAAACTGTGGGTGGAGAACATTTCATGGTGAAACCAGGCCTGATGGGAGCTCAGTCAGATCATTAATAACAGAAACAGGTTCTTCAGGCGATGGAGGCTCCAGCAGAATCACTCCTTTATCCTGGTCTCTGGTAGAACCTGACCACCAAACATGGAGGCTTCCCTCCGTTCTCCACCTGCCCAGCACCTTCTAGGAACAAAAAGACCGGCAGAACCAGAACCTCAGAACCACCCTCAGCTAACCCAGAACATGGCTGCAGATGGAGATCGTTAGTCTGTTCATCATTATTCAGAAGCTAAACCATCAGAACCAACCGCTCTGGGTCTGTTTCTCAGCACGACATCCCGCCTCCAGAACACCAAGGATCCAATCAGGCTCCTCCACTGTCCCATCATTCTCCTCCCAGCTGGAAGTGGACCCTCAACCTAACCAGAAGAAGCCGTCGGTCCCGTCTCTCCCAGTAGCTGAGAAAGATCTTCAACTAAGACCAGCCTCCATCTGCCTCCTGCTCCGTCTGAAGATGTTCTCTGGTTCTCCTTCCGTCCCTGATGGGTTTCCACTCTTCATTCTGCCTCTGCATCCAGAGGAGATCTTCCCAGGAGGTCCGGCCAAACGTTGGAGCAGAGAGTTCAGGGGAATGAGCAGAAACTCAGGGGGGTTCACCTCAGAGTCTACAGGTTAAAGGTCAAAGGTCCTGGTCTTGAAGAAGACGCTTCTTTTTTCAACAATCAAAGAACATCTGAATGAAGGAGCGGACGGCGGACAGCGGACGGCGGTCCCTCAGTGGAAAACACCAGAATCCAGATGGAGAATCAGGGTACTGGTTTTAGAGCAGGAAGTGACAGGTGGATAGAGCAGGAAGTGACAGGTGGTAAAGGAGGAAGTAACAGGTGGTAGAGCAGGAAGTGACAGGTGGATAGAGCAGGAAGTGACAGGTGGTAAAGGAGGAAGTAACTGACTGAGCAGGAAGGAAAAACTAACATATCCTTCCTCCCCTGAGGTCCACTAAAACCAGCTGAACGCCACCGTGAGCTTCTCTGAAGCTGAAGCAGCTCTTTGACGTGGAAAGCAGAGCGTCCTGCATCCATGATGACCACAGATAACTAGAACCAATCAGAATAAACTGCTGTTTCCTCCTCAGAGCTCTGAGCCACTGAGTTGAACCCAAACACTGTCTGCTGTGACATGGCAGTGACCCCCCACTGAGGCCAGCTGGCCGTTGGCTGCAGGAGGAACACCCAGACATCCTCCTGCTCCGTTTGGGAGGATTCCACTTTGTTCCGGGTTAGAAGGGACATCTTCTCCCTCCTTCTAGACCTCCTAACCCAGCGGTGTTTGATGTCCCTCATTCTCCTCCATGTACCCATGAAGCAGACCTTTTCCAGGTTAGTGGGACAGAGAGTCTTCAGTAGAACAGAGACTGAAATGATGGTGAAGAGTTGGACCTTCTGCTTGGTGAAAAATCCACCACTGGAGCATCTTATCAAAGTGGGTCAACGTTTCCCAGAAGGAAAGAAGGATGTGGAGTTTGGGTTTAGTCTTCAGAATATTTTCCTTCTAAAACCAGCAGTTGATCTTTAGTCTGGCTGTGATGGTGAAGACTGAACCTCCCACTGATCCTCCTGCCTGTGTGAGATCTTCTGAGCTCCTCACATATAAACCTGAGCAATCAGGAAGCCTTTCTGATGTGAAACCTTACAGTTGGAGCGTTTTTCAGTTTAACACCAAAGCTCTTAAAGCAGCGTAGATCAGAGCTCCTTGTCTGAACGCTTCCATCGCCGGAGCCTCTAGTTTCACAGAACTGGTTCAGGGAGAAGCAGCAAGAACGAAGCTCAGAGGAAGAGGAGGAGGAAAAACAGAAGAGTCTTGAAGTTCATCCTCATCTTCCTTCAGTCCACCCACCCCTCTCTCCCTCATGCCCCCCCCATTCTCTGCTGTGTCCCTCGCCCT